TCAAAGTCTTGATTAGTGTAATTACCATGGAGTTTCAACGTGCACACGTTTACGTTTTGAAAGGCAACTAAAAATTAAATTATGTAAAGACGAAGACGCCATTTATAGTCAACCAAACGAATTATAAAATTTGAATGGTTCAATAATTGCAGCGGAAAATTTACATTTCTAAACTCTAATACTAATGGAAACTTCCTTACTACCACAAGAATATTATTTGCCAATACTAAGATCAAACTAGGGGTGTTCTATTCTAGAACATTTCAATTTCATTATGAAAAATCCACTCTTTCTTACCCCACCTCTCAATATTTTGAAAGATACCTACAAATTTACATAAAAGGGCATTTGTGGTAGTGAAGGGACGTCGTCACAATCTCTTCATCTACAATCGAGGGTTGAAACTTAAAAGACGGTAACGATAAGAGAAATGACGAAAGTCTGAATAAATACCACATGACAAGAGTTTCACATGTCATTATTATTATTATTATTATTATTTGGGTAGTTATATTTGCACTACAATTTTTATTTGTTGTATCGCCTTTTAATTGTACTATTGGTTATCAAACATTTGATTATTTTCATATTTATATCTTCAACTTTTGTTCGCCGCATTCTTACATTCGTTCTTCCATTAATTAGCACATATTGTCTATTATGATAGTTTTTGTAAAAAAAATAAAAATAAAATGTTTGAAGAGCGTAAAAAAACATATTTTACCTTTGGTATTTTAAATAAGCTAAAAAAATAATAAATATAAAAGTTTGATAAAATATTTACACCTCATTTTAAAGCACATGAATAAAATATTTAGATATATACCATCATAAGGGATAAGATGTGCAATTTTAGCCCTTGTTTGACCCCATTTTATAAAAAAAATCATTTTTTCAAAAATCTTTTTTAATTACACATTCTCTAAAAATCACTTTTCAAAAATGCATTTTTTTTTTCTCTCAAAATGGGCCTCAAACAAGGGCTTAGTATAAGATTAATGGTAGGAATGTGACGGAAAAAGTTGTGAATGTAAATAAAAATTATTAGCAAAAATTGAATACGTTTAATATAGTTATAATATTATGCAATAAGCAAAAATTGTGGTGTGAATATAACTGCATTTATTATTTTTGAGTAATATTATTTGTACATTAGTTAGAAGTTAGTTAGTATAAAAAAATGCTTATCATACATAACTATTTATATAATGTTTTACATAATGATGAGATGTCGAAATATAAGTGAAAAAATTATCCGATTGATGAGATTTTGATCCAATTAAATTTCGACACTTTCATCTGTTGATACATTATTATGTAAGTTGTTATTCCATATATCACAACCATATTAATTTACATCTTCATTATGTAAATCAATCTGTATGTACAAATAGTATTTATTTTTTATTTTTTTGACTCCTTCATCCCTTATAAAATGGAAAAATTGCAGTGTAATGACAAAATACCCTTACCAAATAAAAATTAACTGCCACACTGGTTAACCAATATGAAGAATCCCAAGACCCCAGATATCGACTCCACTTGACTTACGTGTAAAATAATGCGAAGGCGTCTGTGGCAAGAAATCCAAATCCCCGAATTTTAAACTGATTTTTTTTTTTTTTTTTTCCATCCAACTGCTATTCGCTGCCAATATAAATATAAAGAGTCACGCACGTTCGTTAGAAATTCTTATACACAACAAACTTCTTCTTCTACCATTTCCCCAATCTCAAGTTTCTTGAATTTTATTTCATTTTCCCCAAAAAAAAAAAAAA